TATCTAACAATCTTTCTAACTTTTCAGGGTGTGAAACAGCAATTCTATTCCCCATGCGTTCAAAAAAAATATTTGGAAGTGTTCACCCAACTGCTGGAATGACCCTTCGCTCCTTTACTGCTTGCATCTGGATCAAGGTGACTGAGGCTTTGAACAAAACCATCGTCTTCTCGTACGGAACCAAGTTAAATCCATACGAAATCCAACTTTATCTCAGCCAGGAGTCTGCAGTGCTTGTTGTTGGTGGTGACCAGCACAAGTTAGTTGTCAAAAACGTAGTTGTTCCTGGGAAATGGATCCATCTCTGTGGCACCTGGAGCTCAGAGAATGGATCTGCATCCCTGTGGCTGAACGGAGAGCTTACAGCCACCACCCTGGACATTGCCGATGCTCATACCGTTCCAAGTGGAGGGATTTTGCAGATCGGTCAAGAAAAGAATGGCTGCTGTGTTGGAGGTGGATTTGATGAAGCTTTAGCTTTCTCTGGAAAATTAACTGGCTTTAACATGTGGGACAGAGTGCTCAGTGCAAAAGAGATAGTAGCACAGAGCGGAGAAGATGCATGCAGTATGAGGGGCAACATTATCGGGTGGGGAGTCACAGAAGTTTTGCTATATGGAGGAGCCCAGTACGTTTCTTAAATTCTGGCAAGGCAGTTTCTGAAGCAGCAAACATATTTTATGAAGAGCTGAACACCTGTCCATGCAAGTAAACATGTAGGAGCCCACACTGCTCCAATTCCCAAGGAAGATTAGCATTGCAAGTTTACAAAAGGAGGTACTGTAGAGACAGGATTTTATCTCTGCCTGCTGCTTTGGCAAAACACTGAAAAAACAGTACATCAAGGCATGACATTGGAAAAAGCTGTTCCTGAGGTCAGATGACTGCTGTCTCTCTACACGGTGTTTTCTGATGTATAAAAGCAAGTGCCACTGTGGACATATTTGGAGCTGAATGGTGCCCCTGGCATACCTGCCATGGCAAACCTATCCAGCTGACCAGTCTCTACAGAAGGATGCACTCCTTCCAAGCTCCTCCAGTCACTGGGGCTTATAGTACTAATGTGAATTGTACAGAGGAACCACATAAACCAAGAAATGTGTTTATTAATCATTGTTAGCAATTTATAGACTGTAAAAAAAACTAGCTCATTGTATAAAGCAATATTTATGCCACAGGTTGACCTAACATATAAGAGAGATATTCCCCACCTTAATCTGATGCCACATTTGGAGAAAATGCAGCTGTATTATATTGTAAATTTACTTTTTGATAATTTTATTGAAATTATTTTTGTAAAGTTGTTCTGTAAATAAAGGTACTTTACTATACTAAAACTTTCTATGGTTCTCGTGAACTGAAACTCTGAAACTAAGTAAGTACAAATTGGGAATTTTTCCATATTTTGTACCATGCAGTTTTAGCTGCCAACAGAAACATAAACATCTCATACAGAGGGAAAGACTTTTGGAGGACTGAAATTCAAGCATTAGCCAGGGACAGCTCTAAAGACCCTTCATGATAACAATCCCTCTTGTGAACGCTGCCATGTGCAAGGATCTGCCGCTCTAGTTCTCCCATGTGGACATGGTCACTTGTACAGAAGAGATGCTTTGACATACTGGCATGTGTGCGTTGGAGGCTGAAGGAAGGATTGGTTTCGACCAAATAAAAAAAAAAGTCAGTCGACACCCTTCTCATAATACTGGCCATCTGAGAAGGACATACTCTGTTTTAATATATATTTAGATATCCAAAGTAACCAACTTGTTTGGTGCTAACAGGAAGTTTGTACAAGGCTGATTGATGAATATTTGGTGGCAGCAGCTTTCTTTTCTCACATTCACAAGCTTATTCAAAATCCAATAAAAACATAGGGCTGGATACAGTGCCTAAGAAGCAGATGCAGATAGCCAAGATTCTGATGGTGATTTGCATGTAGAGAACAGAGCAGAAGTAGAAATGATGAACAGTTGTTCACTGCATATGTTATCATTTATGACAAGAATGATTATGCGCTACCTGTTGAAGCCTCTGAACAATTTATTGTTGAGAACGTCTTACTCAAAGCAATTCTCACTCTCACTGGAAGCAGCATACCCTTCTGCGGTATTCACATGTTTCTCTGTCTTTCTCATTCTCTACAGATGTCCTAAGAATGCACTTTGAAAAGTTTCTTGACATGTTGCTGCTATGCTTATTCCCAAATATGACACAGCTACCAGATCCTTCCTCTACAATACAAAAGTAGTAAGAAAAAGCTATGACAAGGTAATTTCCACTTTACTATGCCATTCAAGGGGGCTGTGCTTCATACCTAAAGTTGTATGACCTGCTCCAAAGGTTTGGCAACACTGTTTAAGATAACTGCTCCAATTGATGGAATTTCTCCTATTACCCTGTAATAAAAAAATGTATCTAAATTATAAATGCTTAGTATGACAAAAAGTCCCTTACTAAGTCATAGCTGTAGACAACCTTAACTACAAAACAATGAAAGATTACCTTCGTTCATCTCATTTCAGCCAGAAAACAGATCTCCAGAGCTACAAAAGACACTTGATGTCCCAATATTGTGTAAGTGCAAAAACACACCCAAATCCTCTTTCCATACGGTGCTCTCCAGTAAATGAAAACAAATGTTCGTGAAACAAAGCAGAAAAAGCAAAATCCTCAAAAAGATTACCGGAAGTCTTTCCTGGTTACTTTTCTTACTGTACTTCATACCTGAAATGCTCTTTCTTGGAAGTAGCCTTTTCTTGTCTCTGTTCTGCTTTGGCAAATGACCAAATGCAAAGCCAGTCCTCTCATTCCACTGGCTCACCTGGAAAACTCTCTTCATCCTAACTGTTTTGCTATTCCTTTATTACCAAAGCTTTCACACAGTCTACCCCCTCCTGCCCAGCACTGCAAGTCATCTCCATCGGCATGCTTCTCTCTTTCCTTCCCAGACTAACTATATTTTAATTCATCAACAGTTACTTTGCCTGTTTGGGAAACTCTGGGCAAATAGTATTTTGAGGGAGTTTGGGTTCCAAACATGAAAAAGCCACTGCAACCCTGCTCTTTCACTGCAAACATAGAAATGAAGGAGCAAGCGCAAGATGTGCATGCCTGGGATACGCTGCTGAGCCCAGTTTTGCTCTCTAACAAGTCTCTCTGAATACAACATTCACATTCCTTGCCTAAGCTCCTCTGGAAGGTTGAGCAGCAGTGGAAGTCTCAGATTACAGCACCAACTGCAGGGTAGGTTTGCTGCTATTCACTGGAATTGGGAATAAATCTGCCTGATCCCTTATGCTGATGGAAGGTGTCAGCACAGTGCCTGTCAACATCGAGAGCATGGTACAGACGCTTGCATGTTTAGAAGCTGAGTTCACACTAACTGCAACAGAGTAGGTAAACACTTTTTCTATAGAGCTCTTTTTTAGCTAATAAGATAAGAAACTAATTATTCAGCCAGACAGTTGCCCCAAGTAATAAAAAAAAATCCAGTTAGCTCTGAAATACTCCCAGGCAATGGGCCAAAGTCTACTATCAGTCTCACTGGTGCCATTAGGCTGAGCCATGTGTGTGCAGCACCAGAACAGGACTCTTTGTCTCCACACTGCTTTCTAAATTCAGCTTTAGCAGCTTTATCCTCTTGATTTCCTTCTCCCTTCAGCAAACACTTGGTCTTTAAGCGCAACTCTTAGCATGCTGCAAATCAGACTTTTCATGCCTGAAGTACAAATTATGTACAGTGCAATTAAGCCACTATGCAAAACAAAGCAATTTGATTATTCGAAGTGCCCTCTTCCAGTCTGGAATTTCCAAACCTGATGTCCACAGCAACACCTGCTGGTAGAATAACATTAATACACAAAACCGAACAGGCACAGTCATGATAAAACTTTCAGTTGTGGGTAGGTATTACTTTCCCAAACCTATGACTATATCAAAAAACCTTTTACCCTATTAATAGCACTGAGTTACAAGTGGTAATGCACAACGTTAACACATAAATACTAACATCATGAGAGTTAAGAGTTATCCATGTGGCTTTGAAAACCTGTTAGCAATATTCTGTCATTGGACTCTACCTAATTAGTATTATCACATAGCTCATACATATTTATGATGTTTATCACACACTTGTCCTTAAACAAAGCAGACAAATATGAAAACTCTCACCATAATGTCATAAGGACAAAATTACTTTCTAGCTTATCTGTCCCTCCATAATACACTCAATTATGTGGGTTTTTTTTTAAATAAATACAGAATGCACACATTTAATTTGAGTGCTTAACATGTTCATAACAACGTTCTTGGAATAAAGAAAGAGCTACTACCTGTACTTGAAGAAAAACACACAGCGATTTTACTGTCACAGTAGTACTGCATTGTAACTAATACCATGAACTTTACTCCTTCAAATAAATTGGACTTCCTTTTGTAGAGGTATGAATATTTTTGGCTTTCTAAACCACAAAAGTAAAGCATACAGAGCTTAGCAACAATATTCTGTGTAAAGGTAATAATGCAGGCAAAATTAAAGAAGCACTACAATCCTTTTATATCTTACATCTGACTATTTTGCCACAGAACAGGATTAATTTCATCCCCATTTATATTTTAGGGTATTGCCAATGACACCAAAAGTAAAGATAAGAGCCTGGTAACTAGTGCCTCACATCATGGCTTATAATTTGTTGTCCATTAGTATAACATACTATAAAAGTACAGATGTGTTTTCTGCCCTGTGGGTCATCCAATCTATAATGAAACTTCCATATTCAAGAAGGTTCAGTAAATTCACACATCCTTGAAAGGTCTCCTTTGATATAGTCTGGTTTTAGATTGTCTTAGATGTTTACAGATATGTCCGTATGTCTGCTTTATACATACATGCCTCATAGATGTTTTTCTATGTAGCATGTTAAATTGTATACATGCCTAACTAAGCTAATGGTGGGTATGCTGCAGGACTAAAACTAAAAATCTCAGTGCATTCGTACCTCGAAGGACACTGTTGACAATGGTGTCTGTGTGATCAGCCAGCAGATCTGCTTTAGCGATTGCAGCCAAGGACAGATAACTTGACATGTTTCTGCACAATTCCTTATTGCCCCTCTGAAGAAATTTCACTGCCACTGGAACAGCTAAGGCCATTACTGGAGGTTGGTTGTAATTCTGTAAAAACATAGAAAAGCACTGAAAAATAAGGAGCTGTAGAAATTATTAAAATAAAGTTTCATGCTGAACAGAGTAGAAAAACAAAAATCAAAACAACAGGGAAAACAAGAAAAGAAAAAGTCAAGAAAGGTTATGTTTTGGTAACACTACTGAAGGCATGTTCAAAGAAACAGCAAGTAAAGGAATTTAAAACTACTTCACCAGGAAATGCTAATGACGCACCTATTTTTGACTTCCGCAAGAGGAGGAGAAAATATGAAGTGCACTACTTAAGTGCTAATTGCTGTAGCATTTCTAACAAGACATTTTGTGTTTGGTGCTTTCAGAGAAGACAGCAGAAGCTGTATCCATCATACACACAGAGTAGGTAATTTGCATCCCAAAGCATAGCAAACACTTTGGAACAGTCACTTGTGCTGGTGACTGGTAAATATTGCTCCCTGCAGTAGGAGAGGCATTGCTGCCTTTTGTTCCTGCATCCCAGCGTTCTGCCCCGTGCCCATGTCCATGTCCAGCCCCAAGTGCAGGCTCAAGGCTCAGGGAAACAATTTCAAGCACGGGTCAGTCTTCCTCAATGGAAGTCACAGCTTACCTTATCTAAACTGAAGTGTGCCATTACTCTGAGTTTCGGCCTATCTTTATGCTGACAGAGAGTACTTGAAGAAAGGACCCCTCTGCCCAGAACAGGATCTCATGATAAGCCACTGGACTAAATCAAAGGCAAACTGGTCAAACAAGGAAAAAGAGTATGCATGGATAAGTGTACTTGGAGACTGGCTCACAGGGTAACAGCTTTAGCATTGATTGAGTGGTGTACCTCAGGGATCGATGTTGGGACCAGTCTTGTTTAACATCTTCGTCGCTGATATGGACAGTGGGATTGAGTGCGCCCTCAGCAAGTTTGCCGATGACACCAGGCTGTGTGGTTCGGTTGATATGCTGGAGGGAAGGAATGCCATCCAGAGGGACCTCGACATGCTTGTGAGGTGGGCTGATGCCAACCTCATGAAGTTTAACCATGCCAAGTGCAAGGTCCTACACCTGGATCGGAGCAATCCCAGGCACAGCTACAGGCTGGGCAGAGAAGAGATTCAGAGCAGCCCTGCGGAGAAGGACTTGGGGGTGCTGGTCGATGAGAAAATGAACATGAGCCACCAGTGTGCGCTTGCAGCCCAGAAAGCCAACCGTATGCTGGGCTGCATCAAAAGGAGCGTGACCAGCAGGTCGAAGGAGGTGATCCTGCCCCTCTACTCTGCTCTTGTGAGACCTCACTTGGAGTATTGTGTGCAGTTCTGGTGTCCTCAACATAAAAAGGACGTGGAACTTTTGGAACAAGTCCAGAGGAGGGCCACGAGGATGATCAGGGGACTGGAGCACCTCCCGTATGAAGATAGGCTGAGAAAGTTGGGGCTGTTCAGCCTGGAGAAGAGAAGGCTGCATGGAGACCTCATAGCAGCCTTCCAGTATCTGAAGGGGGCCTATAGGGATGCTGGGGAGGGACTCTTCATTAGGGACTGTAGTGACAGGACAAGGGGTAATGGGTTAAAACTTAAACAGGGGAAGTTTAGATTGGATATAAGGAGGAACTTCTTTCCTGTTAGGGTGGTGAGGCACTGGAATGGGTTGCCCAGGGAGGTTGTGAATGCTCCATCCCTGGCGGTGGTCAAGACCAGGTTGGATGAAGCCTTGGGTGACATGGTGTAGTGTGAGGTGTCCCTGTGCACGGCAGGGGGGTTAGAACTAGATGATCTTAAGGTCCTTTCCAACCCTAACTGTTCTATGATTCTATGATCATCCCCTTTCCTGTAATAATTAGGACTTTTTAAAACTCCAGCCAATTTCTCTGAACAGCAGGGTAAACTGAAATTTTTCAGGACTACTAACTTCTGTTGTCAAAATGGCACCAAGCTTCAGCAGTCTCAGGGGTATCTGCACCTACACTTGGGGTTTGACATTAAGGTCATAAAAGGCTTTCTACAACTATTTGTGTACATGAAACTGTGGGCACAGATTATACACGTCTATTAGCCATTAAGTTCCCATACATAATTGCCCTTGAAACTAGCAGGGTATGCTTATGTGTAACTGAGGACCTATATTCTCTCTTGAGCCTCCTCAATCAGTGCTTTTCTATGCTTTTCACTTAGATTTGGACATCTCTTTGAAATTGGAGTACCTCACTGGTTTTGAAAATAATCCTGCAATGTGATTATATTTAATTAGCATCTGAAATCACAGGCAGCCACTGGAATCCAGATGTTTCAGAAAGCAAGTAAACAGTGCAAAGAAAGGCAGAACAGACCGAGCACATGCTCATTCTGGAGCAGCACTGAACAAATAAATTTGGACCTGAGAAAAAACAAATCTGTCATTCCATATACGATGCTACATTGCCTCCTAGGCCAGTTCTGCCTCCATCAGCAGTAACTGCCTTTGCCATCAGCTTCACAGAGAGCAGGACTCACCCCAATTAACACTGCATTATGATACTCAGCTAGTGCAAAAGAGCCAAGTTTAAGTGGCTACGAGGGTTTTTCATTGCAAGGGAGACATGCCAAGCAATGGAATGCTGCACCTGCTCTGGGACAATCCTTTTCTTCTGGCCCTTGAGGAAGGAGGGGCTGCAACAACACATAGGTGTCAAGACAGCTCGTCATGGCAACTGCTATATGATCAAGAGCCACATTTTTAATGAGAAAAGGCCTTGAAATGAATAGAGCTTTATACAGCAGCATGCTTAAATCCACATAATGCCTCATTATATTTGGCTGAGAGGCACTATTGAATAAAGCCAAATTCTGCCTCCAAGTTATACTTTAGGACTCAGTACAAAAAAAATAGGAAGATAAGGTTTGAGCTTCTGACTAGGTTTTAAAAGATCTAAGAAAATTCCAAAGAACAATTTATTATAGTTTTTTTCCTGCAATGAATATAAAATACTTAGTTAAGAATATGTTTGAATTCAGATGGAAGGAAAAAGGTTTCATTTGTTCTGATATATATATCAGGGCATGAATGCATACTTATGAAAATGGGAAGGTGACAATGAAAAACAGATTTCAATAATATGATATAGTGATGTTTGCAAACCTAGGGGACCTCCCTGCTGGTACTATCAACAGAAACATGCTGTGAGATTCAACCCAGCTGTCGGATGTTCATTACTACTTCAACTACCCCTCACGTATTGCATGAAAACTCATTTTATGCCTTTTTTTTTTTATGCAAAGGAACTCACTGACAATAGCTCTGTTTCAGGGAGCAGGAAATGTACTCTTAGAAGTTGCTCATTTCACTTTAATGAACCCCTTTCTCGAAGTAATCTGCAACAGAGTGCAATCCCCCAAAAATTTGAATATGAGCTATCTTGATTTAGGCACACAGTTGCCAACAGCAAAATTAGACAAGCCATGGCATACTTCAGAAAACATATTTCATAAGAACGCTAAAGTACTGCAAAGACAACATTTGTGCAGTGTGTACATCTGTGCAGATGTACAGTGTCTCGTATGGAAAGTTTAAGCTGCGCAGCTACTGATATCCAAAGCCAGTTACTGTCTCACCTCCAGGGACACAAGACAGAAGGGGACACAACCAATGCCTCCAGGAACATGTTGCCTATTGGAAAACATGGTCCCTGTCAAAACCGGTCACTCACTGGGCAAGCCCTTGTATGCAGATGACCTACAAAGGATGTGCTTCTGCCCCCTGCACTGGGGTGCAGCTTACGGTTTGTGGCTCAGGGATGTCAGTGTGGTACAGAAGAAATCTTGTTAAGCCTCATCCACAGTCTTGACCAAATGTCTGGCTAGAATGAATCTCTACGCTTCCCAGACTAAAATGAACAGAAACCTAGCTTCAGAAAAACAGGGTTTTTCCATCTTTCAATGTATTATAATACACATTTTTGTGCCTCTTCAGAGTGATGCACTGGGATTAAACAGAACTGACCACACAAAACTAAATTCACTGAAGCAGATTCAGCATTGACGTTATTTTTTCTGAAACTCCTTGTTTCTTTTGGACTTCAAATATTTTCAGCCAAAGTAGATGAGGAATCTCAAGTTTATGGAACAATATGTCCTACAAGGAGCTAAGCAAGCATCATACTGTTTCTCCATCTGCCATGGAACTCATCCCCATGAATTGTACCCACAGCTGAAACTTTAAAAACAGCTCTGATTTTCACTTCCAGTTAGATAACTGTACACATAGGTTTCTCTGTGGGTGTCTCCAGTGTGTTACATTCCTTACTCAACAGAGAAAGATGTTGCCTGCAGTCCCAACTAAAAAAAGAACAACCAAACAAACCACAAACAAAAGCAAAACCCCCACCAGACTCACCCTGATTTAATATCAGGCTTCCACACACTCCCCTTTCAAATGTCTCTTCACCCTCAACTTATTTCTTAGAAAGCCTTGAAATTGCCCATTCCTATCTCCAAAAGATCCTGCATTCAAGGACGAAAATACCTTTTTGATCATCTTGTTGCCTCCAACATTCATAAAATATTGTAAGAAATTATCCCAACACTCTTGGCCAGAGCATAACTTCTTTCTAGTCCTCTGTTTAGAGTAGTAGAAATCATATTTTATTTCAGAAATCAGTTTTCTATGTAGTATCTGGACTCAGCTTTTACAATCAAAATGTTGAGAGATCCTCCTTACTGACAGATAATCTACTGACCTAAATTTCATGACATTAAAATATCTGCAGCATTTTGCTGCTTTCCAGAACAGTTCGAAAGAATAACCTCCTCCCTGATACTAAGTGGTTTCAAATGAATCTTTCTGTAACTACAGAAAATTATAGTCATATGTCTCCCACTTTAATATTTACATAAAATACAAATACTTAAAATTAACAGAATTAACAAAATCTGTCACTAAACCTTCAAGACATTTCTAAAGAAGATGTCAAAAGTTTTTATTCACTGCAACAGATGCCATATACATTGTAATAATATACATTAACATTTGGGGTCATATTCTTGGTTCTAAACAAATGCAACCATTCCCATGGTCCCTCAGAAACCATGAAGTACAACCACATTTTAAAAGATAAAACTGAATAGCCAACAAATGCATTACACCCCCAGCTCACTCTTACCTGCAAGATACAGCTCATGATATCAGATGCAATTTTTGCATGTGGTGCATCCTCATCTTTCCCAGAAGGCTTCAGGTTGTGCTCTAGACATGACTCCCAGAGAGCCACAAGGGCTTTCCCATGCTTTTCTATGGATGCTGTCTCCCTTATGGCAGTGGTGATGCGAGTGATGCAGATTTCCACCACAGCCTGGTCATTGTCATTGGTCTGGTAGTCCTGATCCAAGTGAAGAGAGATTTGACAATGAATGCCCACCCTTTCCAAGGACCCAAAAAAATTAACTTGAATACAAATTTTTTCTAAATGTCCACTGTCATTTTCTTACTTCCACCTTTAAAACAAATGGTTAGTGTGTTTAAACGCAGAAATTATTCATCCCATAGACAATTCACTGGTTTAGGTCTTAGTCCTTGTTACTGTAGAGGTATTGGGTTGCCAAATGGTTTTTAGTAGTCTATTTTGAAGTATGGTCTTCTTGAGCAAAGACTGCAGCTGCACATCTTACAACCACCCACACAGGCCTCTTCTCCCATAACCATCTTAAAACTGAAACTGGAATGGTTATAGCCACAATATATGCAGCCAAATGCAGGGTCCCAAATATTTCATATCATGTTGAGTCCCTGATGTGAACAGACTTAGTTTCAATTAGTATCAGTGTAACACGAATAAAAGTTAATTAAATAGGCTTTATCACAAAATCCTGTAATCCCTTTAATTATTGACACAGATACCATGTGGGCATGAAATAGCAGCACTGTGCCATAACTAGAAGACTCGGAATACGCAATCACTGTCCCTCAGTTTAACTTAGGCTGCTCCACCCTAAAAAGTAGCAAAGATGAAAGACAGACTGAAGCATTAAAACTCATTGGCTTTTCTAGATAAAGCACGTACATTTTTGAAAACCTGGAACCAAGTTCAGCACTAGCTTGTACAAGCACAGCTCCAGAGCTAGGCCTGGGGTTCTGCACTGCACTGTGGTACAGCATATTGCAGACATAAGCCATGATGTTTGGGTGTGTCTCAAAGCAATTCTCTGCATTTATTCACAGATAGCCATCTACAAGCTCTGCATGGCATGCATGAAAAATCCATGCACTTCCTAAAGAAAGAAAACACACTCTTTCTTTTGTATAAATTTACCTATTGATAAAGAGGTGAACAAGTTAACAGCCACTGTCTGGGATGGCACAAGAGTGAACCCCTGGCGAGAATCCTGGTCTCTGGCTGTGTGTGGACTTGGAGAGCAGAGCAGTCCTGTCCACACTGCTGTGGAATTATTCCATTTGGGGAGAAATACATGTCAAAGCCAAGCTGCAGGGATGGGGCAGCGCTGGAGCAGCTCCCCGATCTCTGGAGCCCTCTGGTGGGAATCGCAGCTCGAGGTAAGGGGATGGCTTTGAGGGATGCTTCAGCTGCTTAGAGCAGCCTGGTGCATTTGCAAAATCATTTTGTAATGAATTCCTGCATTTTCTCTCAAAAAATTTATTAGGGGGAATTTGTGTCAAGTTCCTCATAACTTGCAGTTAGGTGAGTTGAAGTACATCACAAACAGCAGAGAAAATGGCCAAAACAACTTGATTAATGTTCTGGAGTCTGCTGATGTAACTGTTGTCAAAGAAATGACTAGAGATGAGCCAGTGTACAGTGACTGTCCTGATTGATGAGTCAGTTTTTGTAACATCATTCACAACACTTTATGCTGCACAAAGAAAACACAGTGTACATACAGTGGACCTGTAACTCTTCAATATGCCTTAAATAGCTATTGAATAAAAATTATGATAAAGACAAACTTGAAATATCTTTCAAGGAAATCCAGCTAGTGGGAGCTAGATTTGGTTACCACATTTTTATATATTACACTTTGCTTGGCATTCTTTAGGTTTTTCTAGAAACTTAGATTGTGCATGTCCTCTTAGCACTTTATTTATACATCTATTCTCATCGAATATGATTAAGAGTGTTTCACTTACCACAGATGAACTAATTATTCTTATTTGTTCAAGAGCTTCTGAGAGGCTTCCTTCAATTTCAGCATCTTCTAATGAGAAAAGATCCCCTGCACGTGAAAGGTCTTTCTGTGCCAAAACCAGCCCAAACAGATGATGCATGGCTGCATTCACTGTCACTCAGCTAGATCTCTGCACGCACCATGTGCATGAATGATTCAGATGAGGGCAGAATGGAAACAATCCTGTGGACTACCAATCAATCTAATATGAAGAGTAAATTTAGGGCATATTTCAAGTCTTCCTTGGCCCCAGTCTAAAAGGAAAAAGGAAAAAGGGTGTGAGGGGCTGAATTAACAAATATTTCAGATTAGCAAAGTCTTTTAAATAGTGTTTGTACACAGCATACAGGGTGCCCTGATCCAGGGACATCCTTAAGCACGTATCACAAACTGCATGTTGAAGGACCTTTTGCCCTCATACACTAAATAGCTTAAGATGAGCTAAACAATACATAACTTTTAATACATAAACCCAAGTATTTTTCATTTCAATGCACGTTACCTGAGCAGGATAGTGACTAGATGAACTGAACTGCCTTTCCGTGGTTTCTAGCTCCAGTAGCAGAGCTAGAGGGAGCAGGTGAAGCTGCTTCCTCTGTTTTCTGGGTTGTTGTGTCTTGACTCTAGAAATACACTAGCAAGATTGAGAAGATACTGATTTTTTGTTAGAAAAAGTCAGTTTTGCTGCCAAAACGATGCCTGCAGTCTTTTCAACTCATGTGAAACAAACAGTTGGCTGAGCTGAAACCATGCATTTTTTGGCTGGGGAATTTATCAAAAGGCAGGCCAAGTGGAGCCAGGCTCGGCACCGTGCACACACTTGTGCTCCCAAACTTTGGTGTTTAAAGCATCTGCAGAGGAGACGTTTGCCTTAACTGTATGAGAAGTTTGGGTTTTCCGTATCTCAGAAGTGTTACTTGTTATTCCAAACCTGCTAGGACTTGCCTCACACTGATGGGTTCCCTCTACTCATACACCTTTGAGGCAAGAGTCTCCGTGGCCAACCACAGTGCACATGAGAAAGAGACCAACAGCACAGGGTCCTTCAAGACCAGAAAATCCCACAGGGCTTGGACACCGCCCCTAAACTTTGCCTAGGCAAGTAAAATTCATGCAGACAGAAAGTGTCTGTCCTTGAGTCTTCCAAGGGTCTCCATGATGTCCCTACAAGCAGGAAAAATTATAAGGGCCAACCTTCCTCCCTCAGCTCCTCACTGTACTGCACTTCATAAAACAATAGAATGGTTTGAGTTGGAAAGGACCCTAAAAATCATCAAGTACCAACCCCCCTGCCATGAGCAGGGACACCTTCCACTAGACCAGATTGCCCAAAGCCCTGTCCAACCTAGCTTTGAACACTGCCAGGGATGGGGTATCCCCAGCTTCTCTGGACAACCTGTGCCAGTGCCTCATCACTTTCACAGCAAAGAATTTCTTCCTAATATCTAATGTAAATTTTCCCTCTGTCAGTTTAAAGCCATTCCCCCTTGTCCTACCACTACATGCTCTTGTAAAAGGCTTCTCTTCAGCTTTCTTGTAGGCCCCTTTAGGTACTGGAAAGTTGCTCTAAGGTCTCCCTGGAGCCCCTTCTTTTCTAGGCTGAACAACCCCAGCTCTCTCCACCTGTCTTCTTCCACCCTTTCGCACCAAAACTATTCACAGTGACAAAGCATGCCAGTAAGCCAGAATTTCTCAGCCCCAAAGAGCATCCCTAAGTGCAGTGCCATCCAGAGGCTGCTAGCACTTCAGAAAGAGCTGTGAGGGACACGGGGAAGCAGAAGACCACTGTTGTTCAAGACCCTACTGAGAAAGAGCTGAACCACACAGAAAACATTCACTGGCACTCATAGCAGCCAATGCTGGCTAGAATAAGCACATGGAGCTTCTGCCAGCCAAAGTGGACACAAATACACATAGTGCCATGGCCCTGAGTAAGCTTAAAGGAGACATTACAAATGGGAATGCTGTAACCTGTGCCCTGAGAAGCTGCTGCATAGCTCAACAAGCTCACTCTAAACAAGTTCTGTCCAATGGTCACTTCAAGTTCCCTTTGGCTTTAACTGCACCTGTGTTGGCCATCTTTTAGTGCACAAGTTATGATTCCCAGTCCTTCAACACCAACATCATCCACATCATCAATATTTTCTCTACAATTAATTTTGGAAAGATAAACACAGCATCATTCAGAGAAACAGTGAAGCAGGCTGCTGTTAGTTGCTGTTTAGTGAATCAAAATATATTTCTGAAATAAACATACCTAAATATAAAGGACATACATATATGTATGCATATATATGTCCTTTACCTTCAGATGTACAACAATCTGAAAGTTTCATCTTAGCCACTAGTGGCTGTCTTTGCAGGAATACAAGGTACATGATATCCAGCTGACAAAATTATGACATTAACAGAGGCACACTCTGATATTCATTAATCCAGGAGTTTGAGTTAGCTTCAAAGGTTAGGCTTTGGAAAAGCAACTACTTGAACAGGATCAGTCTGCCTTTCTTCACATCCCTTAAATGACTTAGTCTATGTTTACAATGAGTAAAATTTTACTGTAGTGTTACAGAGAGGAAAGAGAAATGTCTGAGATTTGACATATATTACTGAAGTAAAACACAACAGAAACAGGGATATAATGAAAAACAGGCTATTTGTAATGTGGACAGAGTGATGAAGAGGCTGGGTTTGACAAAGGCCTTGAACATCACCACATTTTCCACGCAGGCTTGCATTAGATGAACCTTTTGTAGCAGTGTACAGCCACTGGCAACCCCAAAGGCATGTGCCAAGCGGGGCAGGCAGAGATGTCCTGCCCACTGGAGCACTAGCAGCCTGCAGGAAGCTCTGCAAATGTGTTTCAAACCCAGGTGCATCTTGACATGAGAACATGTATTAAGACACTGTCATAAATTAAAACTTTCCCTTTGTTGTCAGTTACTAATCTAATATAGAATATTTACTGATTTTGGGGCCAGGAAGAGATCTACCAAGCATGACTTCCAGATGGCCCATGTGGATTCACAGCCAACTCCTCTAAGTTCTTTTCTTGAGGCCATGAACAAAATACCACATTGTCACAAACTAGATTGCTTGTAATTATTGAGCTACAGATCATCCTTAATCCCTGTTAACCTATTTTATGTTATTTTTTTAGGGCAGGGGGGTGGGGGAACACACACACAAAAAAGAAAACACCAAAAAAAAACCTCAAAAACCAAATTACCAAAAAAACCCAAACCCCACAAAAATAAAAACCAAAACAAACCTGAAGTTTCAAATGCAAAACACTGAGAACCTTCTGGAAACTATTCAATGTAGCATTCTCCTTTCAATAGCATAGGCAGCACCTTACACTTGATCTGCCCAAAGCTTTATTGTAAGGGTTTTTTAATTTTCCCAAATCCATTAATATCATTACACAGGATTTTTAGTTGGATTATTTGCAACAGGACAGAAGGAGAAAAGAGCTAATAAGACTGCAAACATGGAAGCACAACAGTCTACAACCTCCTGACAATTGCTATGGCATAGATCACCAGTCACCAGACTGAAGGGGATGGCATAAGAACAGAGGAGATAGGTCCATTGTACTCATAGGCAACAATCCTCAATTCAAAAGTAAAAGTTCAATAAGCCACTGACACAAACTGATTTTTTTACCTGTTCATGATTCCATTATGACATCCTCAGTGATGGTTTAAGGTGCAAAGTTTGTGCTCTTTAAACAAAACCTGACCATTTGCTTTGCACTCCTGCTACGCCAGGCAGCATTCGAGGGCACAGCGAGTGGAAAGCTGGGGAATGGGGTGGCAAGCAGTGAACCTGAAGCTGTTAGCTGCAGTGCCAGGAGTAAGGCATTTCAGGAATGCAGACTAAAGCAGCCTAAAAGTTACCAATGGCTCTGTCAGGTGACTACAGGAACTTAAATGCAGAGAGGCCTTATCTCTGAATGAAACGCTCTGTTACTAGGACAAAGCTTACACCACCTGAGGCAGTTGTTTTTAATAGAGAAAACAGAACTCTCTGTATTAGTGGAAAGCTATCCTTCCTGGGAAGGTAAAAAAAATTCAAAACCACCTCAGTAAACTCACAGTGTTTGAAAGCAAAAGAACAAGTGAGCAAACTTGTTCAGAAAAGATTTTCTGTGCAAAGGAATAAATGCTACTGTTCTGTAGCATTTTACATTAGTCTGAAATTGGGCGGAACTTTGCTTTGGCTTTTAACATTATTATAAGTAGCACAACAAAATCTGAACACATAATTTGGAACACAGCTCTAGGAACAAAGATCCATTTGAACCCTCCCCTGGATCAGCTGCACTGATACACAGCAACCCATTCTTGGCCTTTTGCAAATGATATTCTACTCGATGTGCTTCTGCAGAAGAGTTTCTCAGAAAGGTCCTGTTCTCCATTTGATGAACAGACACTTTTTAATGTAAGGTTTTTTAGACAGCACTAAGGACAATACAGAAAAAACATTTTCTTACTATAAGCTCTTTGAAATGGAATTATAGAAAATCTCCTTAATACTTACGTTATGTAACAATGCCTAAAATACTTTTCTTGCATAGGTCTTAAAAGGAGAAAATTGTCCTCTAAGCTTCTCCTTTCTCACTATAAGATTGTACTGTTTCCTATTAATAGGCCTGGCACTGAGGAAAAGGAAAAACATAACACACGTGTCTTCTAAAATACCGTATTTTAACTTTCTTTCAGTAGGGCCAGATCAGATGACAAAATCGCTTCAGTGTATGGTTCCTGAGATGTCTCATCATCTTAACTCCAAAACACCTATCAATATGTTCCCATTCAGACAGGACATACTTTACCATATCAGTGTCTGATACAAGGCGAGTTACATTTGTGTCATATGTACACAATGGAAAAGAGACAAAGGGATAAAAAATGACAGCTTCCAACACAGGCCATTTCTATTTGTTTGCATTGAAGTGCCACATCTAATTCAAAGTTTTCAAACTGATTTTTCACATCAAGTTTCCCTTTTCATGACAAGCCAAAAGAGCCATACTGGACCTTGAATCTGTTCCCCTCCAAGGTGAGTCTCTCAGCTTGCTGGAGGCACAGCATTCTTACCAAAGGTCCTTATCACAGAAACAATCAGAATAAAAGCTAGCCTGACAGGTTTCAGAGCTTGAAGCAACTGAATTGGTCTGCTTGTGAAATAATTCCCTCAATAATCAGAGATTAACAATA